CTTTCCTTTCCTTTCCTTTCCTTTCCTTTCCTTTCCTTTCCTTTCCTTTCCTTTCCTTTCCTTTCCTTTCCTTTCCTTTCCTTTCCTTTCCTTTCCTCTCCCACCATCCCAAAGGCTGTTCCCTTCCATCCATGCTCTCTGTCATTTCCCATCATTTATGGGCAGGGCTGGAATTCCTGCCTGAGCAGATTCCTGCAGAAATGAACTTTGGCTGGACACAAACAGCACATAAAGAGGGAAAGCAGATGAAAACTGGTGCAGGCCTCGGTTTCTTTGGAGCTAAACGGAGAGATCCCAGGTGTCAGCGCCCCAGAGACCTGCCCAGGTATGGTTTGAACTCACTAAATAATGGATTTTAGTTGGTCTGCTTTCTTTTGGGTGGAATTTTATACACAATCTGTTTTCCTGTTGCGTTTCCAGCAAGCAAAATCTGTGTTTTGCTGCTTGAATTTAGTTCACACTCAGGTGCTCAGTTTTTATAAGGCTCAGATTTTTATCTGTTGGACTTCCAGAAATTATGTGTGATGTTGGTAAGAGCTTATTTATTATTTATTGCTTTTATTGTAGTGTAATAGCTGTGAAATTTAAACATGAAATAAATTAAGAGAAGAAACCCTTATGCTCAGTGCACCAGCACAGAAGTGAGGCTGGCCAGGCTGACATCACAAACCCAAGAAAACAAGAATTTGGGGGATATTTCCATTAATTCATTAGTGCATCCTGCTTATTAGCAGTGCCAGAAGGTGTTTGTGACCTGTAGTGCTCCATGCCAGTGATCTGCTGAAAAGTAACACTGCAAACACACTTCACTTGTTTATTTACCTCTGAAGTGATAGATTTATCTCCTAATTTTGCTCTTGTTTCCCAGCCTTTTATAGAATTCTTGGACAGTTTATAGACAGCAGCTGACACCTGTAAAATTCACCTGGAGCTATTCAGCAGTTTTAAACACCTCGATGCAATTTATCCAGAACTCCTCATGCACAAAAAAAGTCAAAAATTGATTGGAGTGGCCGAGGAACTCTTCTGTCCTGTCTTTAAAAAGTGGATATAAAGCTGTCAGCTTTTACAGCTGCCCTCACACTGCTTCAATCAAGCAGAGCTCTGGAGGGGAGATTCCTTTGCAGCCTGGAGTCCTGATGGGCCTGGAGGCAAGTCCAGGGCAGGGATGGGTGGGAGGCAGCTCTGCAGCAGCAATTTCATCTGCAGCAGCATCTGCATCACCTGCATCACCTGCATCTGTATCTGCATCACCTGCATCCCTTCCTGAGGAAGGTACCAAGCCCTCAGCTGTGCTGGGTTTCACTTTTATTAATAAATTCAAATTAGAAAAAAGAATAGATATAGAAGAGGGGGAGAAAACCAATCTGATTTTATGGCTTGGAGAGCTTTGGCAGTGCCAGGCTGCTCTCTCAGGGCTCTGCCCAGCCCAGGTCCAGGTGATTCAGGCAGGAGGGGTTGGTGCCTTCCCAAGGCTCCTGCTCACATTCCTCAAGGCATTCCTGGGGTCTGAGCATCCTGAAACTTCTTTTGGCACAATACTCAAAGGGACAAAAAACATGATTTGCAAGGTGCTCCTTATTTGTCCCTGGGCTCACCTGGTGCACAGGAGGCTCAGGGGCCCTTGTGGCTCCTGCCAGGAGGGCACAGGGACAGGAGCAGAGGGAACGGCCCCAGGCTGGGCCAGGGCAGCTCAGGGTGGGCACAGCAGGAATTTCCCCATGGAAAGGGGGCTCAGGAACTGCCCAGGGAGGGTTGCAGTGCCCATCCCTGCAGGTGGCACCTGGAGGTGGCACTCAGAGCTGGGGACAGGGTGGGGATGGGCACAGCTGGTACTCAGTGATCCTGGAGTTGTTTTCCAGCCTGAAGGATTTTGGGATTTCTCCCTGGTGTTTCCAAACCACCCCAAATATTCAGCAAGGCCAGAAATGCTGCATTTGACTCCCTGGAAGCTGAGAGCTCCTGCACCCGGGCTGGTCCCATCCCTCCCATCATCCAGGTGTGATCACCTGCAGCCCCTGCCCTCCCTGGGTGCTCATCACCCTCAGGTGGGAGCAGGCAGTGATCCTGTACCCCAATGCCCCATTGCCACGGGCATTCTGGATTTCCCAGCCATTTTCCTGTATGGANTTCTGGAGGCCTCTCCCAGGCCCAGGGGTTCCCTGATCCAGGTGTTTTTGGCAGCTGTCCCCAGGAGTGCTGTTTCTCCCCAGGTCCCTGGTGGTGGTGCACTTCTGGGCGCCATGGGCTCCGCAGTGCGCGCAGATGAACGAGGTGATGGCGGCGCTGGCACGGGAGCACAGCCAGGTCACCTTCGTGCAGGTGAGCAGGGACAGCCCTGGGGGAGGAAATGTTCCAAAATGGGCAGGTTTCCCTTGGGGTGCCTCTGGGGCCTCACATTCCTAATGCCCCTCTCACATCTGGTATCCCAGAGGTGCTGCTCCCATCAGGGATGGGCTCAGACTGGGAATCCTGGAATGCTGTGGGTGGGAAGGACCTCAGACCCATCCAGGGTTATCCCAGAGGTGCTGCTGCTGTCAGGGATGGGCTCAGACTGGGAATCCTGGAATGCTGTGGGTGGGAATGACCTCAGACCCATCCAGGGTTATCCCAGAGGTGCTGCTGTCATCAGGGATGGGCTCAGACAGGGAATCCTGGAATGCCTTGGGTGGGAAGGGACCCCAAAGCCCACCCAGTGCCAGCCCTGCCATGGCAGGGACACCTCCCAGTGCCCCAGGGTGCCCAGCCTTGGGGATGTTATCTCAGGATTCCCAGAGGGTTCCTGTGGCTGAAATGACCCTTGAGGAAGGTGAGCTCAGCCCCTGCAGGGTTGTCACTCTGCTTTGTGAGACCCTCTGCACATCCCACTGTGATCCAGGGGAAGGAATTCCCTTCATCCACGTGCTGTTGGTTTTAAACCAAATTTCTCTGGTTAATGAGGCACTTGTGGCACGATGAGGGCAGGGAGCAGTGGAGCAGCCAGCTGTGTGTGAGTATTTTAATGGGATTTTTACAGCCTTTAGGATGTGTGTGTGGGTTTCTTTAATGATTCCTCTCAGTTGGTATTTGTAAAACAGGTCAGAATTATTTTAATGATACTTGATGACTTCAAGCTTCAAAAGACTAATTTTCCACTTATTGCAGATTCAAGATGCTTACATTTATCTAGAGTTTAGTAGCTTTTGCTCAGCCCAACAAAGTCTGGAATCTCTCAGTTGCCCTTTTGTTATTCCTATATCATTTATTTATGACCTTTATTATTTAGCTGTAATTTATATTTTAATAATGAGGTTCCAAAGTCATCCAGGGCTGTGAAACCAAGGTGGTGGCACATCCTTTCCCAACTCCCTCCTCCAGTAATTTTTATATTACTGGTGTTCTTGCTCAGAGAAAATAAGCTGATGGAAATTCTTGGGTGAATTTTACTGATCCATTTTGGAGGGAGGAGCTCCTCCAGAGGAATATATTTGATTTTGGCAGTTCTTGGTGGGATTTTTGTGTTCCAGGATATCCAGCCTGCCTTTGAATTGGCAAGCACCTGTTTCCTCCTTGGATGTTTGATTGAAATGAATGTGTTCATATCCCAAAACACTCATAAACAACATTTTGGGGTAGCTGTGCCAATGAGAGCAAGTTCCTGAAATATGAAATGAAATCTCTTCTGTGTTATGTGGAACATCAATATCCAAGCAGGAAATTTTGCTGGGAAAGAAAATGAGTATTAGTGGTGGAAGTCATCATTTGCCCCTGGAAAAAGAATCAATAATTGGGATTACCTATTCTCGTTCAATTATGTATAAGCTTTCAGTTCAGTTTCAGTTGGATACAAGCTTTCATTTTCTAGCTGTGGCTGTGCAGTTGATTCTGTTGGAGTGGTGATGTGCAGGAGGAGGCTGGGGCTCACTTGTGATGCTCCTGCTTTCCCTCTCTAATTATTCTCTAATTAGTGGGTTCATTAGGAGCCTGTGTAGCTGGAGCTGCTCAGAATCTGAGCCTGTGAAGATAAATTTTCATAGAAAATCCCTCTGTGATGAAAGTGGGAGCAGCAATCCCAGGCTGGGCACTCAGCAGCCTTGCAGGAGTTAAAAATCAAGTTAAAAATCAAGTTAAAAATCAAGTTAAAAATCCCCCTCAGCTGAAGGAGCAGCTCCTTTTCCCCCTCATTTGCAGGGGCTGCTGATGTCAGGGGTGATGCAGAGCCCCCCAAAGGGGCACAAAAGCACCTCTGTGGTGGGGACATCACTGGGCAGTGATTTATGGCTTCCAATATAGCAGGAGCTGCACAGCAGTGAGAATTTACCGGGTCAGGAGTGCACCAAAAATTTTATTCGCAGCCTCCGGGCGTCTTTTGAAATGTGCAACAAAATAAAAAGCTCTGCAGCTGCTCTGACACCCTGGAGTTCAGCGGGGCCATGCAGCCCAGAGAGCCTCATTTAAATGCAAATGGCTCCCAGACTTCAGCAGCAGATCCTGCTTAAATGGATCAAATGCCAGGGAGAACAGTCCAGGATTGACACTCGCAGTGAAACTTGAAAGAAGATTATGAAAATAATCCAGGCTTTTTTTTTTTTGGGTTTGGTTTTTAGCTGGAAGCTGAGGCTGTGCCTGAAGTGTCTGAAAAATATGGAATTAGTTCTGTTCCAACGTTCTTGTTCTTTAAGGTAAGAGGAAATGAATTTAAGAAAAGTGGATTTAAGAGAAAATAGAATCCATGTGGACTCTTAATACTTATACTTGTGTAATACTCTACCAGAACCTTAGGAGCTTTCTCAGTGAGGAAACACCTCTGTAACTGATTGAATTCTATCCAGTGGAACCTAAAAATGGAAATGCACATGGTTTTTGCACTTAATGTGGAATAGTTCAGGGCTTCCTTAAGTGCTTTGGGATTCAGACATAGCTTTTATTTCACTTGTTGTACTTGGGTCAAAAAAATTACAGCAGCATTTCTTTGTATTGAGGTTGGGGGAAAAGACCCAAGTAAATATGGTAATGACAGAAATAACAATTCTGTTTGGGTGCTGTTTGCCTGTGATGATAAAATGGATAATATTTTATGAAATAAGTATTTCTAGAGGCAAACTTGGTGCTGTTACTGATGCCTTGCAGTGGCTGCCCAGAACAGAGGCTAGACAGGGTTGAGAGGATAAAGTAAAGTGGGTGTTTATTAAAGGCCTTCAGTAGGTGCACCTTGGGCACTCAGAGGCTGCACCAGGATGGAGCATGGGCACGGGTTTGTCAGGCAGATATGGGTTTGGTCTGTGTACATATCAGGGGTTAATGCTCCAGTTCAGCTTCAGGTGATGAAGTGATTTATCCTCAGTTTGCTCCTCCCAATTCACTCCTGTTTGTACTTTCCAGGCCCTGAGGCTGTAGGGCGTCCTTGAGTTTCAGGCCTGGGGGAATTGTTTAGTTTGATCAAAATGTGAAGACAGTTAGCTACACTTTGGATGGAGTTCAGAATTAGGCACGAATGCAGCACAGGATCTGAAAACCAGAAAAGCTAAAATCCCTCAGGCATCATCTGCACCAGAAAGGCACGAGCGTGGCAGCACAGCCCTCCCTGCAAGGCAGCCTTGGCTGGCTTTGCTGTGCTTGAGCCCAGCCTGACTGAGGGCTCTCTGTGCTGTGTGACCGTGTT